CTTTCTTTCTTTCCTTTCTTTCTTTCACCGTTCCTGAAAGTACTGTAATACCAGGTCAATGCATAGAGCGGATGGAGCAAGCTCCTGTTCCAAAAATCCTGCTCCAAAAATCCATTTAATATATTGTCCTCGGATAGAGGCTATATCAGATATTAAACTGATAAGAACAGATACTACACTTGATCTTAGCCAAAAAGCCAAGAAGCGATGGCACAATTTTCAACCAGCTCCTAACCTAAAAGTTGGCTCTTTGAATCTACCCAGTGGCTCCGCTGAAGAAAGACCTGGTTAACTGCTTCTGTAGAGATGACAGTATATCCAGAAAACTCTATGGAACAGTTCTACTCTGTAACACATAGGGCCACCGTGAGTTGGGGGCTGATTTGATGGAGGCTAATAACAAGTAGGCTTACCCTTGAAAAGCGGGATCAGGGGCTACATCTGGGAAATGATTCCCACGCTAGTCTCTAGTGGAGATTCATCATGCAGATTAGCATATTAAAATTTGAGAGGTCCTACAGAAAACAAAACTGCTTTAACTTTGATTAATCCTATGCTCACAAATGTATTTGCGAGCACAGGATTCCTTGCTCCCTTCTACACTGCACAAGGGCAACAGCTTGGCGTCTACATCCGGAGACCTCGGCTTTTTTGTGTGATTCTGACACACTCTCGCTGAGTTACTGGGTCAGGCTTCTGTGAAGCCCGGATTCCTCATTTCAACACTGAAGCTAATGGCACGTGCCCATGCTTAACAATGAATTAGAGTAAGCACAAGGGCTCGGAACACCTTGGAAACAAGGTTCTAGAGAAACAATGCCATTATCTCAGCCACATCTGCACGAAGGGCAAGGCATCACATCATTAGACACTCCAAATGTGGACCTAGCAGATGCTCCCTACTTTGGTTTCTACCCTGGTCTGCAGGGGTCTATAGGAACCACACGCACTTCAGTAAACAAACCAATCTCAGGCAGGTGCTTGTTTCAAACCTAGATGGAAAATGGAAGAAAGGAAATGAAGTGGAATCAACAAAGCAAGGGGGCATATAACAACAACAACAAAAGTTAACATTTAATAAGGCTTCCTAGGGGCTAGCACTGGGTTAAACCATTGAAATGTGCTGCATTTAAATTCTTCTCATTCACTCCTGGGGGAGGGGGTTGGGGGAGGGGGGAATGCCTAGGTAGGATGTGGAAGTTATGACAAAATTGAAGTTTGGAGCAAGGTAGTAGCTTGTCCAGATCATATGGGTCTGACATGCCAGGGCCAAGACCATGACCAGGCCTGGGGGACGGGTTCAGACTACACGAATATTTCCTAAAGTGGTAGACAGGAAGTGGTCTTAGGCCGGAAAGTTTTATTTTAATAGCTTTGCATTTTGATAAATGTTAGAGAAAATATATGATAAATAGCACGCCTATGGTTTTGTTTATGGATATAGTGTTTAGCAAGGATATGGTTTTGTTTATGGATATAGTGTTTAGCAAGGCAAAACAAACAACCAAACAAAATAAAACTAAATCTCTTTTTATGAAATTAATAGTACAGGCAGCACATTCACATGTGAACATCCACAAAGGTGGCATCCTGGGGACTGCCATTGGGGAATTACCATACCACACCCATCTACCTGCCAGCAGAATAAAGGCCAACGGCCAAACAAAGGCCAATGGGATTTGCTTTAAGGGGCTATTGCGCTTGCTTCTGTTCCCAACTGAACAATAGTCTCCTCTAGGTCCTTTGGAAGGAAGTGCATGAGAGGAAATGAAGTTACTTGAATACTGCAGGCTGGCAACAGTGACTGTGTTTACCTGGATGGGGGTTGGACCGAGGGGAAATCTGTGATTGTGAGATCTGATTCACAGAAACGCCACAGACTGACAAGAAATACCTTTTACAGAGAAGGAAATGTGCTTGTGAATTGTTGGCAACCCTCTCCCTGACCTTCCCACTGTGCAGTTCCCTGGTTCATCTTTCAGGTCTGAGGAGAAGGGGAGGGTCTTAGTCGAGACTTCTTGGTTGCAAAATAAACCCACTCAACTGGTTCAAGGTAAGAGGGGGACAAAAGAAAAAGAAGAGGGGGGCAGGGAAATGGGTGAATTTGCAGGGATTTCTTATAGATGCAAAGAAGTGGAGCTGTATGTAGGAGTGGAAACCCAGATTACGGTTTGTTTCTTTAGGTTTCTAGTCTCTGCTTCTCGGAGGCTCGGCTTCATTGTCTCTTCTTAGCTTCACCAACCATGACCGTGTGGGGCCTTGCTTTATGTCACTTTTCAATTCCAGTCCCTAGAAGACACATACCAGTGTCTCTGGGCCTCGATTGTAAACTCCAACTTGGCGAGTTTGGATCAAAAGTTCCTCATGTCCAGAGGAAACAATGATCAGGTATTCTGAAATTCAGCATCTTTGAACCTGGAGTACACAGTTGGTATTTGTTCCTGTGAATTTTAATAGTTTTAACAGGGACTGAAAGTATGGTCCCTAGAGTCCCTGGGTCTCTTGTTTTTCTTTTGTTTTCAGTTCGGCAAGTTCTATTGATATTTGATATTGTAGATAAATGATGTATCAGGACCAATGTTTTTTCTGTTTCTTCTTCATCCTATCTGACTCTAATTTCCTCGAGGCCTAAGGATGATGGACACTCATGGTGGACACTCACAAGGTCATAAAGCTGAAATCCTTTGGGATATGGGGGCAAAGAATGAAAGAGCTGGGCAATCAGTAATGGCCATCAGTCCATTGGCACTGTGCTGGGCGCCATGGGGACTGCTGAAGTGATGATGACGATGGGTGCTGCTGTTGTGAGTTATCATCAACTCCGTTTCGAAGCGGGGCGACCCCATGTGTACAGAGTAGAATGACTCCGTGGGATTTTTAAGACTGTGACCTTTCAGCGCAGATTGCCTTTGGTGTTAGATGCCATCGAGTGAGCTCCGACCCATGGCAGCCCTGTGCACCACAGAAAGAAACACTGCTAGGTCCATCCTCACAGTTGCTACTATGCCGAGGCCAGTTGATGCAGCCACTGTGTCCATCCATCTCATTGAGGGCCTTCCTCTTTTTCGCTGTCCTTCTCCTTTACCAAACAAGAGGTCCTTCTCCAAGGAATAGCCTGATCTGACAACATGTCCAAAGTAAGCAAAACGAAGTCTTGCCATCCTTGCCTCTAAGGAACACTCTGGCCTTACTTCAAACACAGATTGGCTAGTCCTGCCATAATTCGAATGCATTGATTCTTCTATGGTCTTCCTTATTCAATGTCCAATTTTTCACATACATGTTAAATAATGGAGAATACCGTGGCTTGGGTCAGGCGCACCTTAGTCCTCAAAGTAACATGATTGCTCTTCAATATTATAAAGAGATTTGCAGCAGCAGATTTACCTCATGCACTATGTCTTTTGATCTCTTAACTGCTGCTTCCGTGAGGATTATTTGTGGGATCCAAGAAAGACAAAATCCTTGACAACTTCAACCTTTCCTCCATTTATCATGCTCTTACCTATAGGTCCAGTTGTGAATATTTTGGTTTTCTTCATATTGAGTTGTAATCCATCCTGAAGGCTACAATTCTTGTTCTTTATCATCAAGTGCTTCAATTCCTCCTCACTTTCCTCAAGCCAGGTTGTAAATAAACCTTCCTCCAATCCTGATACCACATTCTTCTTCACATAATACAACTTCTCTAATGATTTTCTCAGTGTACAGATGGAACAAGTATGGTGAGAGGAAACCACCTTGATGTACACCTTTCCTGATTTTAAATCATGCATTATGCCCTTGATCTGTTTGCTCAACTGCCTCTTGATCTATATACAATTGTGAATGATCAAACTGAAGTGTTCTGGAATTCCCATTATTCTCAAGGTTATCAACAGTCTAGTGCTTGTGTATAGTCAAATGAAACACAAGTAAACACCTTTCTGGTATTCTCTGCTTTGAGCCAAGCTCTACCTGTCATCAGCAATGATAGCCCTTGTTCCAAGGCCTCTTCTGAATCCGGTCTTGAACTTCTGGCAGTTCCCTGTCCATGTACTGCTGCAATCATTGTTGGATGATCTTAAGCAAAATGTTATGCATGTGATATTAATGCTCCTGTTCTACAGTTTGAGCATTCTACTGGGTCACCTTTCTTTGGTATGGGCACAAAATGGATCTCTTCCAGTCAGTTGGCCAAGTATCAGTCTTCCAAATTCTCTGGCATAGAAGAATGAGTGTTTACAGTGCTTCTTCAGCTTGCTGAAACATTTCAATGAGTATTCCGTCAATTCCTGGAGTTTTGTTCTTGGCTAATGCATTCAGTGCAGTTTGAATTTTTTTCTTCAGCATCATTGGTTCTTGCTCATATGCTACCTCCTGAAATAATGGAATATCAACTGGTTCTTTATGGTATAATGACTCTGTGTATTCTTTCCATCTTCTTTTGATGCTTCCTGCATCATGCAATATTTTCCCCATAAAATCCTTCAAGATTGCTACTCAAGGTTTGAATTTTTTTTTCAGTTCTTTCAGTTTCAGTTATGCTGAGCATATTCTTCCCTTTTGATTTTCTAATTCTAGGTCTTTGCACATTTCATCATAATATTTGGCTTTATCTTCTTGAGCTGATTTTTGAAATTTTCTATTCAGCTCTTTGACTTCATCTTTTCTTCCATTTGCTTTAGTTGCTCTACAATTAAGAGCAAGTTTTAAAGTCTCTTCTGGCATCCAGTTTGACCTTTTCAGAGAAGAGTGCCAGGTCAGAATTCCATAGTGCCTACGGTTGAGTTTATACTGTCAACCTTTGGCGAGTTATCTAGAACTTAACAAACTGCACCACCCAGAGACTCCTTGTTCACGGTAATAGTGATAAAATAGAAGAATGAGCCTCATGAAATGATAACAAGAAAAACACATTCCTATATAGCGAAAAAAAATTCTAATTCAGAATTCAAAGATTTAAGTTCTACACTTGACTCTGATTCTTCACTTGCTTAATAATCTCAAACTAATCACTTCATCAGTCAGGATCCTTATCTATAAAAAATGATCATGCTTTTTTAAGGCAGAAGCTTCTATGATTTCATAGTCTATGATCCTATACCTGAACAAGAAAAAAGATCTTGGAGGAAATGAGGTCTTCAGAGTCAGATGAATATCAGCAAAGTCTATTGTCTTACAGGAAATGAATCTTAAGAAGATTTGAAATTTTCAAGGATATATTTTT